ATGAATAAAAATGTATGTTACACTGATCAGTAGTAAAGGTCAAAGTAGAAAAAATCAACACTTTTCATGTGCAACTTTTGGTTCCAAATATATGAGAGAATGAATAAAAATATTATGACGTCGCAAAAAGATGAAAAAACTTCAAAATTTGCACACAGTCTGGTTTTCTTATATCTGGTTGCTATGTACAAATCTGTAATATTTGCATTAAATATACCAAACTGATGCTTTTAAATTAATGTATGCATGCCATATGATATTTTTCAGAATTGTTTTACTCCATTCAGTAACACATTTCTATGCTAAAACCTCACTATATTATATGTTTGACCCTTTAAGGGTGCAATCAACAGTTTTTTTCTATGACGTCATATTTTAAGGGACCATGCCTAAGTGACCCTTAGTGGTGGAATGGTTAATAAAGATACTTGTATAAAACTAGATATTACTGGAATCAGAATTTTCTCTAGTTTATATTGAAATAAAAATATACTGTACTTTTAATATAGTAAAAAAGTTCTATCCAGAGAAAATGGGGAAAAAGTTGCCTAATCTGAACATAAAAAACCTGAAATCAGGTCATGTGCATACCCATGTAAACATGATACAGGCACATTTCCCATAATCAAAACTGTATGAAATTCATAGGTTTTTACCTGGCCTTTAATAAAAATCTTGTTTCAGGGTACGGTTTCCTGCTTCGAAAAGAGCTACAGTGGCTGCAAATAAGTTTTCAATTTTCACTGACAAAAAAACAGGATGTTTACAGTGTTGTCTCCCCTCAAAACATGAATATTTAATCTAATTTTTAAAATCATTTTAATCATTCAACCTGTTTAATTTGAAAGCTAATTAACTAATTTTTACAATCGAATACAAAAAACATGATACTTTTTCACCAATTATATGAATAAAAAGGGATTTCCCTCCATGGTTATTTTTAGTCGGAGAATAACCCCTAGTTTTTTATACGAAACTGTTTATAGCACCCTTAAGCAAAACTTTGTATGCGATATATAAAAAATTCTCTACTTTTCTGAATCTGTACATTAAATCGATTAAAATGATGTCTTACTTTAAGGATTGCGACCATCGATAGTGAAACTACGGCTCATTTTTTATGTCGCATAGTATTGGCATATTGGCCAGTGGCAAATAGTTAAACTGGCATATTCCAAACATTTCCTGTATCACATTTTCATCAGTTATACAAAGAAAAAAAATCATAAAATTGGGTTTCTATTGAATAAATAGAATAAAAACTATGAAATAAACATAAATAAAGTTACTTTAAACATATTTTGTCCCTAGTATTATATGAACTAAGGTGTAGCTGAGTTGAGAAAAATATTGAAATAGTGTATTTCTTAGGAACGGCACTTGTAGCTATTTGACTATAAAAAGTACCAAATATATAATATAATGAATAAAAATGTATGTTACACTGATCAGTAGTAAAGGTCAAAGTAGAAAAAATCTACACTTTTCATGTGCAACTTTTGGTTCCAAATATATGAGAGAATGAATAAAAATATTATGACGTCGCAAAAAGATGAAAAAACTTCAAAATTTGCACACAGTCTGGTTTTCTTATATCGGGTTGCTATGTACAAATCTGTAATATTTGCATTAAATATACCAAACTGATGCTTTTAAATTAATGTATGCATGCCATATGATATTTTTCAGAATTGTTTTACTCCATTCAGTAACACATTTCTATGCTAAAACCTCACTATATTATATGTTTGACCCTATAAAGCAAAACTTTGTATGCGATATATAAAAAATTCTCTACTTTTCTGAATCTGTACATTAAATCGATTAAAATGATGTCTTACTTTAAGGATTGCGACCATCGATAGTGAAACTACGGCTCATTTTTTATGTCGCATAGTATTGGCATATTGGCCAGTGGCAAATAGTTAAACTGGCATATTCCAAACATTTCCTGTATCACATTTTCATCAGTTATACAAAGAAAAAAAATCATAAAATTGGGTTTCTATTGAATAAATAGAATAAAAACTATGAAATAAACATAAATAAAGTTACTTTAAACATATTTTGTCCCTAGTATTATATGAACTAAGGTGTAGCTGAGTTGAGAAAAATATTGAAATAGTGTATTTCTTAGGAACGGCACTTGTAGCTATTTGACTATAAAAAGTACCAAATATATAATATAATGAATAAAAATGTATGTTACACTGATCAGTAGTAAAGGTCAAAGTAGAAAAAATCTACACTTTTCATGTGCAACTTTTGGTTCCAAATATATGAGAGAATGAATAAAAATATTATGACGTCGCAAAAAGATGAAAAAACTTCAAAATTTGCACACAGTCTGGTTTTCTTATATCTGGTTGCTATGTACAAATCTGTAATATTTGCATTAAATATACCAAACTGATGCTTTTAAATTAATGTATGCATGCCATATGATATTTTTCAGAATTGTTTTACTCCATTCAGTAACACATTTCTATGCTAAAACCTCACTATATTATATGTTTGACCCTTTAAGGGTGCAATCAACAGTTTTTTTCTATGACGTCATATTTTAAGGGACCATGCCTAAGTGACCCTTAGTGGTGGAATGGTTAATAAAGATACTTGTATAAAACTAGATATTACTGGAATCAGAATTTTCTCTAGTTTATATTGAAATAAAAATATACTGTACTTTTAATATAGTAAAAAAGTTCTATCCAGAGAAAATGGGGAAAAAGTTGCCTAATCTGAACATAAAAAACCTGAAATCAGGTCATGTGCATACCCATGTAAACATGATACAGGCACATTTCCCATAATCAAAACTGTATGAACTTCATAGGTTTTTACCTGGCCTTTAATAAAAATCTTGTTTCAGGGTACGGTTTCCTGCTTCGAAAAGAGCTACAGTGGCTGCAAATAAGTTTTCAATTTTCACTGCCAAAAAAACAGGATGTTTACAGTGTTGTCTCCCCTCAAAACATGAATATTTAATCTAATTTTTAAAATCATTTTAATCATTCAACCTGTTTAATTTGAAAGCTAATTAACTAATTTTTACAATCGAATACAAAAAACATGATACTTTTTCACCAATTATATGAATAAAAAGGGATTTCCCTCCATGGTTATTTTCAGTCGGAGAATAACCCCTAGTTTTTTATACGAAACTGTTTATAGCACCCAAACTTATGTTGATTCATTGGAATGTAAGGCTGTATTGATTCATGGGAATGTAAAGCTGTGTTGATTCATTTGAATGTAAGGCTGTATTGATTCATTGGAATGTAAGGCTGTATTGATTCATTGGAGTGTAAAGCTGTGTTGATTCAATTGAATGTAAGGCTATATTGGTTCATTGGAATGTAAGGCTGCAGTGATTCATTGAAATATAAGGCTGTATTGATTCATTTGAATGTAAAGATTTGTTGAATTATTGGCATTTTAGGTTGTTTTGGTTGATTGGAATGTAAGGCTATATTGATTAATTGGAATGTAAGGATGCATTGATTCATTGGAATGTAAGGCTGTATTGATTCATTGGAATGTAAAGCTGTATTGATCCATTGGAATGTGAGGCTGTATTGATTCATTGAAATGTAATACTGTGTTGATTCATTGGAATTTATGCTGTGTTGATTCACTGTAAGGTAAGGCTGAATTGATTCAAAGGAATATTAGCTCGAATTGATTCATTACAATGTTAGGTTGCATTGATTTATTGGAATGTAAGGCTGCATTGATTCATAAAAATGTAATGCTGTGTTGATTTATTGGGATGTAAAGCTGAATTGATTTATTGGAATGTTAGGTCGTATTGATTCATTGGAATGTAAGGCAGCGTTGATTTATAAGAATGTCAGGCTTAATTGATGTATATAAATGCTAGTATTGATTCATTGGAACAAACAGTCGTATTGATTCATTGAAATGTAAGGTTGTATTCATTCATTGGAATGTATTACAGGCTACATTGATTCATTGAAATAAAAGGCTGCATTGATTTATTGGAATGTAAGGATGTCTGATTCATATGAATGTAGCTGCATTGATTCCTTTTGAATATAAGGCTGCAGTGATTCATTGAAATATAAGGCTGCATTGAATCATTGGAATGTAAGGCTGCCTTAAATTAATTGGAATGTAAGGTTGAATTGATTCATTTGAATGTAAGGCAGCACTTCTTTATTGGAATGTAAGGCTGTTTTGATTCATTTGAATGTAAGGTAGCACTGCTTTATTGGAATGGAATGCTGTATTGATTCATTGGAATGTACAGCTGCATTGATTCATTGGAATGTAAGGCTGAATTGATTTTTTGGAATGTAATGCTGTGTTGATTCGTTGGAATGAAATGCTGTGTTGATTCATTGGCAATGTAGAGCTGAATTGATTCATAGGAATATTAGGTCGAATTGATTCATTGGAACGTACAGTCGCATTGATTCATTGAAATGTAAGGTTGTATTCATTCATTTGAATGTATTAAAGGCTGCATTGATTCATTGAAATGAAAGGCTGCATTTATTTATTCGAATGTAAGGCTGCATTGATTCATTGGAATATAAGGCTGTCTAATTCATATGAATGTAAAGCTGCATTGATATATTGGAATGTAAGGCTATATTGATTCATTTGAATGTAAGGCTGCAGTGATGCATTGAAATATAAGGCTGCATTGATTCATTTGAATGTAAGGTTGTCTTTATTTATTGAAATGTAAGGTTGAATTGATTCGTTTGAATGTAAGGCAGCACTGCTTTATTGGAATGTAAGGCTGTATTGATTCATTGGAATGTAAGGCAGCACTGCTATATTGGAATGTAAGGCTGTATTGATTCATCACAATTTACAGCTGCATTGATTCATTGAAATGTAAAGCTGAATTGATTCATTAGAATGTAATGCTGTGTTGATTCATTGGAATGTAAGGTTGAATTGATTCATTGGAATGTAAGGCACAATTGATTCATTGGAATGTAAGGCAGCAATGATTCATTAGAATGTAAGGCTGTATTGATTTATTGGAATGTAAGGCACAATTGATTCATACTTAAACATTTTGTAATCAATTACTTATAATCATAGAAAACATTTTGTAATCAATTAATTATAATCATAGAAAAATAATTAAGTTCTCTGTACACAAAGTTTATGCTTATCCGATTTCCAAATGTTGATCCACTATTGGTTAAGTCCAGTTACTTTTGTCCATCAATAAGTAGTTCTTTACTGATCTGATTGTCCTGTAGCAAATTTAAACATCAGAGAAACTTTGGTTTTGTTTATTTATGTGAAGACTAGATACATAATGGATCAAATTTCCAGTCAAATTCATCTCAATCACTGGTTTATCTGATTAAAAATCATTCAACTATAACTTATATAAATATTTTTCTGTTCAATGGCTTATATAAGCATTGTTAAGGAGGGTCAATATGCCTCATATCCTTAAAAGTTAAAAACACCAATATAATTATAAATGTTTATATTTTTGTGTAGCTTCAATCAACTGTGACTGGATTCCTTCTTCCTTGGTTGAATGACCAGCATCCTGAACTATGTGGAAGTCAGCCTTTGGCAATTTCTGTAAAGAGAAAAAAAATGTTTGTTAAAACCTAATCAGAAGTAGTTTACAATTGGTTCAATTTTCTTTTACCAGAAATAAAACTATAAGTAATGTCAATGATATTTCAAACTTTCACCTATATTATACATCTCACAAAATATTAAATGAACAATTGTTTACTAGATCCTACATTTTACAGTTCCCTTGATTTAAACTTAGGACTTAAACTTGAACTCAAACTTGAACTCAAAGTAAATAATACTGACATAATTTTGATAGGATAATGGCCTGCGAAAAATATTCACCAAAGACTTAATGATGTAAGAGATTACCTACACATTTAAATCTGTTGATTATTTTTTTGCTGATAACCGGTTTCTCTCTGTCTACTTATTTAAGGAGAATAACTCCTGTATGGCATTTTTGTGTTTTTCAGAAACTATAAATAGGTCAGCTATATTTGATCCATGGAATGATTAAAAGCTGTATATATCTGTCTGACAGGGTTTACATTGAACTCATTTTCATGGTTCATTGGTAAAAAAAAAAAGTAAAATCACAAAAATACCGACCTCAAAGGAAAATTTAAACGGAAAGTTCTTAATCAAATGGCAAAATCAAAAGCTCAAACACATCAAGCGAATGGATAACAACTGTCATATTCCTGACTTGGTACAGGCATTTTCTTATGTAGAAAATGGTGGATTAAACCTGGTTTTATAGCTAGCTAAACCTCTCACTTGTATGACAGTCGCATTCCATTATATTGACAACGATGTGTGAACAAAACAAACAGACATAATAAGTAAAAATGTCAAAATAGGGGTACAACAGTCAACATTGTGTTATAATCTTAATCCCTATAAAAACAAACAAATATGTAACAAAGAAACACAAAAAGGCATATAGAAAAAGCACATAAGCAAAAATGAAAGACAAGAATACAAAAATTTACCATAGCACAATAACAAAATGATGGGATGTATAAGTACCGAGCCATGTCAAATGAATATCACCAAAATTAAACTAAACAGTAAAAGTAATATTCAAAAAGACAAATAAAAGAATACTACAACACGTTATTAAGATGATAAACAACGTCAGTACCCAGATTCTATACTTCAATATATTGTTTATAACTTTTAAGTGGTCAACTGACGATTTTGTTCATTTGACTTATTTATAGATCTTGTCCTGGTCATTAGGTTTACTGTGTTGAGTTTCTCAATCTTCTACAGTTTCTTCAAAAATCAATTAAATTTCAAGACAATAACTCCTATAATATAATAATATATGACAATTTCATAATGTTTGGTTGGGGCAAACTTAAGTTACAGAATGGAAACTAAAGGGCATAACTCAATAAGTTAAAGTGACACTACCCAAATTCAACTTGATCTGTGTTTTATCAGTGGAAGTCAAAATTAAACATTGCATTGTATAAAGCATTGATTGTAGTTGATTCAACTATAATCATGGACAAAGGAAGATAACTCAAATTTTAAAAATTACTTGATATTTAGAAGAAAATAAATTGCTTCGCCGAGCGCAGCTGGATACGACCTCAGAGGTTCAACCGTGAACAGTTGGGGCAAAAATGGACACAATATTTGTGCTTGATACAGGTCCCCCCCCCAACCCACACTTTTTTTTTTGCAAAAAAAATAATATTTGAAGAATTTTTCTTTTTAATTTCTGTAATCTGAAATGAGAAAAAAATGACCCCCCACAATTTCTTTTTACCCCCTCCCTAATTTTTTTTTCACTTCCCCCCACCCCTTTTCCCCCCTAAAAAAATTCTTTCTCTCAAGATATGGTCATAATCTCAATTCGAATTTCCAATGGAGTGTGCAACCATAATTACCCATTTAAATTTACCATAGTGCTAACTTAATCTATTTTATAATAGAATTTAAAATATGGTGTCAAACCTTTCATATGGATTTTGTTGTAAAAAAAAATATCCAACATTTGCAGATATTTTTACTGGTCTTCCTTTATAAATATGCATTTCTTTATACATGATTTAAAAGCAGTGTAAGGGAGGTAATCAAAACGTTGTGTTTGGATTACCTCCCTTACACTGCTTTAAATTATGTTTTGTACTAAAGTTATTGTCCATTAACCAGGACACCCTTGTTTTTCCACCTTTTTTGCCCCTAATTCCTAAACGGTTTGAGCCATAACCCCCCGAAGCAAATCGTAACCATCCCTTTGAGGTATGGAAACTTGTGGTATAATTTTAGAGAGATCCATACACCGTTCCACAAGTTATTGTCTGGAAACTAGAAAAATGCTTATTTTGGTCCCTTTTTGGCCCCTAATTCCTAAACTGTTAGGACCATAACCCCCAAAATCAATCCCAACCTTCCTTTTGTGGTTATAAACCTTGTGTTTAAATTTCATAGATTTCTATTTAATTATACTAAAGTTATTGTCCGGAAACCAACTGTCTTCAGACAACGACAACAACGTCGTATAATAAAAATTTTGCAATTTTTTCATTTATGAAGGGGCATAACTCTAGAACGGTTAAAGTGAGCCACCAAAATTCAAACTTGATCTGTGTTTTGTGGTAATAAGCATTGTGTATAAGTTTCATAACATTTGGTTGAGGCAAACTTAAGTTAAAGAACGGAAACTAAAAATTTTGCAATTTTTCAATTTATAAAGGGGCATAACTCTAGAACGGTAAAAGTGACGCCACCAAAATTCAAACATGATCTGTGTTTTGTGGTAATAAGCATTGTGTATAAGTTTCATAACATTTGGTTGAGGCAAACTTAAGTTAGAGAACGGAAACTAAAAAGTTTGTAATTTTTCCATTTATAAAGGGGCATAACTCTAGAACGGTAAAAGTGACGCCACCAAAATTCAAACTTGATCTGTGTTTTGTGGTAATAAGCATTGTGTATAAGTTTCATACCATTTGGTTGAGGCAAACTCAAGTTAGAGAACAGACACCAATTTTGGGACGTACGTACGTACAGACAGACAAGGGTAAAACTTAATGCCCCCGACGCCATGGCGGTTGCATAAAAATCATGTATCTAAGACTTAAATTATAACAGTTTTCAGAATAATAGACAAAGCTTGAATTTTACCCCTATGTTCTATTTTTAACCATGTCGGCCACCTTTGTTGGCAGGCAGGGTCATCGGACACATTTTTTAAACTAGATAACCCAATGATGATCGTGGCCAAGTTTGGTTATATTTGGCCCAGTAGTTTCAGAGGACAATTTTTTTGTAAAAGTTAACAGACGATGACAGATGATGATGATGAACGACAGATGCCAAGTGACGAGTACAGCTCAATTGGGCCAGGTGAGCTAAAAACAGTAAAGAATAAAAGAATACCTTGTGCAGTAGCCATGCTGTTTCTGCAGGACAAACCATATCATAACGACCTTGAATTATTGTCACAGGAATGTTGCTTAATTTATCTGCATTGTCTAATAACTGTGACTCAGACTTCATGAAAATACCATTAACAAAATAATGGCTGCAATGGAAATTAGTAAACACAGTTTATGAAGAAAACATTATATACCAAATCAAACTACGCAATCGACAACAACTATATTTTCCTCAAATATGTGACTAATCATCAAATTTTTGTATCTCATCATTATTTTTAGGCATGTATTTTTTTATGTATGTTTATTTAATTCTTCTCTATAACTATGGTCTTGCATTGCTTTATTAGATTGTCAAACAAAATGGTGGTTCAGTATGGTCAACTATTCATGATGGCAAACAATCAAGAGCATTTTGTAAAATTGACTCAGAGGGGTTGCATTCACAAGGTGTCATTGTTAAAATACTCTTGAAAAATGGTCTCAGTCCCATAACTCCTGTAAAATTGTCAAATCAAACTGATGATATTGGAGTCAAGAGAATGTGACAACAAATAATACTGCCAAGTGTGAAAGCTGTCTGTCAAAGGGTCTTGGAGTATTGCTGTGTTTCTGACGAATAGATGGATGGACAGACAGACGACAGATGGGCAGAGATTATTACCATATCCGCTGCTGCGCAACGTACAAGGGACTTAAAATTCCACATTAAATTTTGATATCATTATTTGTACACAGCATTTCCTGAAATTGCAATTATTAAACTAGCATTTTTGTCAATTTTTTCAACAATCAAAATTATAATAAAAGATTGAGGCAAGATTTTATGAATTTACAGTAGCAAGACAAATCTACATCAATGACTGTTTAGAAATTTTTCTTTGAGCATTCATAAATAAGGTTAACGCAGACAAAGGAATCTAAACACTAAGAATATGGCATGTGTTACTTTGTTTCAATATGTTCTTAATGGCAAACTTGTCTTATAATATATTTGAAAAAATCTATTGATCTGTTATTAAATTTAAAAAAAATAAAATTGTTGAAAGGAAATCAATAGTTCAAAGTCTTGTTTTCTTTTTAAGAAGTACTAAAATGATTCTTTGTGATTGTTGTCATAAAAATGCCTCCACTACTGTTGACTTCCTCACAAATGTTCCTATTTTGGTAATCTGAACTGCATTTATTGAAAAGTGCAGAAATATGAAAGAATATGTAGCATGTTGGAGAAGGCAAATTTACACACATCTTCCAAAATATACTAATTCCAAGACTTGTCCATAGTTTGCTAAGGAATCTGAAGTTTGCTAAACTGTTGTTCAAAATTCTATACTTATATTACTTTGCAATTACAGGCAACTATGATAAGGATATCACTTTAAAAATTATTTATTGGTAAATCTCTCATGTTTAAGTTGATGTTAACCAATGATTTTTATGCTTCAAAAATTCTTTAAACACAAATTTATTTCAGATGCTTAAAATAGCAATTGCAGCTAAAATAGCCCCAGTAAGTAAAAGAGTACTCCACTATCACAACTATTCCCCATCCTGAAGAATTAATTATACCATAATGACAAAATCCTAGCTTGTTATTTTTTCATAGTTTTTGAAAGAAAAAAGGTGCCAATGTTAAAATGTATGTAATAACTAGAATCATTTCCCGCCAAATTTTCAATTGAATTTGTTCATGGACCTGAAATTTTCTTCTTTTTAAGTTCCATTATTTATATACTATCAATATATAACAGTCTTTTAAAAAGCTTGTTATTTTTAAACAGACTTAACTCATGTAATATCTTTTCTTTACATTGGGTTTTCAGTTGGAGTGCCAAATATAACAGTAGAGCAAGATCTACCTACTTGGTCATTGGATCACTGCTACCTGTGTGATTTAAAAGTATTAATTTTCGTGGTATACTGAGTTTTACTGTTTTTTTTGCATTATAGACAAAATCCTGAAAAATGGTATACTTGGAACAGTGTAAATATAAAATAAAAACACAGCACATCATTATAAAACATGAAAATAAATACATGGCAAAAGTGCATTTATGAACAAATTTGAAAATTTGATGCAGTCAATATAGTTTGTTAATTACTTTAAATCATCATACCATTCAATTCTGGCAAACTGTAGACACCAGGTGTCTTTTTCTGCTTTCTTCAGTAATTCTTCATCAATAAACATTCTTGATGTGGCCATTTCCCAAGTACTCCATGCTTGTGCAGCAGAAAGTCTTGCTTTTTCGTCTTCACCTGTTAGACGTCTATAATAGGCACTTATCAAATCTCCTTGTTCAACCTGCAAACATAGATTGTGGATGTTTTATTGGTTCATGAAAATCTGATAATCAGTTGCCTATCTGAGTAATCTGATATCACTGACCATCGGTTTTCAAGGGTCTCTGAAATCCTTGATTCTATCAAATTATATGATATATCACTCATGATCTTCTGTTTCCCTTTCAAAGGAATTGAACACGGGCAGAATATAAGAAACAGACCTTAAATCACAAAAGTATAACATACTTGATTGTCAATTTGCAAAGAATTCCGCTCTAACAGGTGCTAGGGGCTGTCTTAAACTTACAGTGAGGTGAGAGTTTTTTCCTCCGTGTTGAAGGCCTCGCTATGTCTTTGAGATGAAGAACAGCAATAAAAGTGTGAATTTTGTGTCATGGATGGATACCCCATATCCTTTCTTTTCTATTACAGACCAATGAAACATGAAAATGAGGTCAAGGCCAGATAAACATGTATACTGTTGTTTGTTTTTTTTTTGGCATGGCTGTGTCAGTTTTTTTTCCACTTAGGAGTTTGAATGTCCCTTCTGTATCTTTCGCCTCTATTTTACAATCATTCTATACATCAAATATAGTCTCTGTATTGCTTTTTTACTTACAATCAAGAAACTTGCCAAATAAAGAAATGAAACACTTAACCAGACCAATGAACCATTAAAATGGTGTTGATGAACCATGTCAGACTGATCAGTTGACCAATTACTTATAGTATCAGGAAAATATCCAAAACCACAAAAAACTGTGTGACTGTAGACACCACATATGTATGTCATATACATAGGGGTTTAGAAATAAAACTGAAAAGTCATTACAGTTTTTGCTACTTGAACATGTAAACTTTAGATTGTCTGTATTGAAGTGTTCTTTAGTAATCACTGTCCAGTTACATCAAAAAGTTTACTGTATTTGCATTTGAAGACTAGGAAGCAAGAAACAAATAAATTTGATGGTGCATGAAAAGTACAAGTCACTTTAGTAAGTAATTTAATCTATTTTCAACTTAATAAAAGGGGTGTTCTATGTTATTTCTGGTGATTGACAATCAGGACAGAACGTTATAGCCTCTGTATCAATAAATAATGTGGCTGTTCACCTGTAGAAAATGAAAATAGTTTGATAATTGTGTGAAAGATATATATGAATGAAAATAAATCATGAAATGGCACAAAATCATGGTATACATAGTAAAAAAAATGAACATCCATAGGTCATAGTACAGTTTCCAATACTGTGTAACTCAACAAGATTAAAATTCCTTCTTTGTTTTCTAATAAATACACACATAAAATTGAGAATGGAAATGGGGAATGTGTCAACGAGACAACAACCCGACCAAAGAGCAGAAAACAGCTGAAGGCCACCAATGGGTCTTCAAAACAGCGAGAAAATCTGGCACCCGGAGGCGGGCTTCAGCTGGCCCCTAAACAAAAATGTGTACTAGTTCAGTGAAAATGGACGTCATACTAAACTCCAAAATTTATAAATGAACTTAAATTAAAAACCATACAAGACTAACCAAGGCCAGAGGCTCCTGACTTGGGACAGGCGTTTATTACATGAACGTAATGAAAATTTGGCTTATTTTAAAAGTGTTATGAAAAGTTTTGAATTATCAATTTCATCTCGTGATATGTCCCTTTATTGTGGGGAAACATTAACAAACTGAACTTTACATTTTTTGTTTCGAAAGATAATCTCTGGTTAACAACCTTTTCTAATATTTCAGTCCAATAAATAGAGGAAAAGATTGTTTCTGTTGATAATCTTTAAAAAATGTTCAAGCTGAAAAATTGTATCTTTAAAAGTTTAAAGCCTGGTTTCCTATATGTAGGTCATATCAAATGAATTAAACGTTTAACAATATGTAGTTGACTTCTTAATAAGGGTAAATAAACCTCACACCAATTATTATTTTATGCCACATTTCATTGAAACTTATATAAAAGTATTGACCGGGTTGTTTCTGCAAATGAAAGACCAATCGATCTGAAAGCAAATATCTCCATATCATGGTATGTGTTCTCCCTAATATCTTTCAAACAAACCTCAGGAATATGGTCTCTGTAGGCTTCAAATTTGTCCGGATAAATTAAACTGCATCCATCCTGGTAGAACCATAAAAGTTCTCTCCTTTAATAAAGATAATTGAAATAGAAACATTTGTCATATAATATTATACTAAATGCGCCACGTACCCACAAAACATCTGTTTTGAGTCATGTTGATTTTGTATAACAGTTTTCAGAAAATAAGAAAATGTTGTATGATTGCCAATGAGACAACATTCAATGATGTCACAAACTATAGGTCAATCAGAGAAAGTATAGTCAGCTATAAAAGGTCCTAGCATGGCAATTAAAATGTTAAAACCAACTGCATGATTTATGACAAAATAATAAACAACGAACAAATATGACATACAGAAACCAACAACAATCACTGAATGACAGGCTACTGACTTGGGACAGGCACATGAAGAGAATGTGGGGTCCTAACCTGTGACTGAGAGGTGTAACAGAACAACATATCAACAAACTGCAAAATTCAATTGAAAATGTCTTGACTCTTGAAGCACAAAACATACTAACAAAAAGACAAGAGACACAAAGTACTGATCTAAGATAACCTGTAGTTACTGAAAGCTACTTCAATGCCAAATAAAACTAAGAAATAAATCTGTTCTCCTAATCTAAATTATAGTTATATTTGTAAGACATATGATACTTGCAACAATGGTGAGCAACATAAATAAAGTGACATGATTTACTTAAATATGCTTATATAAATCCAAATGATACATGCAATACAAGTTTGGTGATTAGAGAATTGACTAATACTTATGGGAATCTAAAATACAGTGAGGTCTGTCTGTGGAAATATGCAAAATTTTCTTCCAAAAAACTTAAAAAGTAAAAGTAAACACTATAGTTGCTCTGACTGGTAAATGATTTAAGAGTTTTTCCCATGAAAAAACATGACTCAAAACATGTGTGCTAACCCCAATCACCTAATATAATATTTTAAAAGCAGTTACTGAAGAAATATTTAACCTCTGGAATATAGTCTTTAAATGCTTCAAACTTGTCAGGAAAAATAAAACTGGCTCCATCTTGATAGGACCACAACAGTTCTCTCCTTTAAGAAAAATAATGAATTAGAAAATTGGTTGTTTTCTGTTTAAATCAAATTGTTCTTACAATATTCGTTTTCTTTTTTTATTTCAAATAACTTCTTGTCAATGAAATGAGTAGATTTGTTTAGTATATTTTCAAGAAGATTTTGATTTGAAGCAAATTTTTCCATATTAGGAAGTTAACAGTTTTTGGGTAAGATATCTTGGGTTGCTTAAGGCCCCAGAACAAGGGGTGAGTCTACTTGAGCAAAAATGTCTAATATTTGAATTTTGAAATTGTAGGTACGATGTAAAATGTATTTAATTATCTCTTGTCGGACAGGAGAGCACAACTGTTTTGATCTAATTTAGGGCTATAAAGAATCTGTATCCCTTACCTTCCCTTATTTCCATTTGAAACAATGGCCTTAGACTCTGGGAAGATTTTGAGGAGAACAAATTTGAAAAATTCAGTTACCAGAATCAAGAATTTCTCTGGCAACTGTACATTTTGTCCTATTAGAATTAAATGGGATATTTTACAAAAACCATTGATGTATAAAAACTGGTTAGCAATAAGAAACTGGCTGTCATGAAACAGCCAAGGCAGATGAATGTTAATCACCAACAATCAAACAATAAATGGTAAGTTTGGTTCTAAATTGGCCTTGGGTTCAATGGAATCTATGTCACATCCATTCATTCATATGTATGCCTCCTGCTCAGTAGAAAATTAGGATTCTTTATAGAGGGTCTCCCAATCACAACTCATCTCATATAATTTTTTTTTGATAAAAACACAATTTTCCAGAAATTATTTCTGGCAACTTTTGTATTTCAACAATTGCCACTAATGACCATGTTTCCTATTAGATTAGAAGGAAAAGATTCTTGACTATTTGTAAGTCTTTTATTGTTTTCAATTCAATATGAACATCTATGTTACTAAAATAACGAGGTCCAATTTATTAGCCGGCATAACGTAAAAACCATGAATCAAAGAATTCAACTTTATATATAACTAATATAGGACAATGGTAATGATTAAAAATTACACCATTCCAGGCCCTTTTGTTATCCACATAATTAATATTACCAATAATTAACGACTTCCGGGTCGAATCTGATACCGATACCAATAGTATATGTTGTTGTTTGTTTGTTCTGTATCTTCATCCTTTATTAGGAGCATCACCATGGGTCATGGTGTAAAGGAGGACATTTTACACACTGTATCAGTACAGATTTAATGTGAGCATTTGCCTACCCAGTCTTACTACCAGAAAGTCACATGTAGTACCAGGTTGTAGTAAGACTGTGCACCATATAATCAGCATGACTTTATCAGATGATAATACGATTACTTAAAATCGAGGCTAAAAAAAAAGGCGTAGGTTCTTTAATTCAGTTATGGACCCGCAATGTCGTGGGTATGTTCTAGTATTGTTAGAAAAAATTGAACATCTTAATCTCATTAATTCATCACACAAGAGTGGACATGCTGAGATGTCTTGCCTGCATATTAAACTGGTTATAATTGAATTTGTTGAAAGTCCTTAAGATAACAAAGATAACAAAAACTTAACATTGACCACTAAACCATGAAGATAAGGTCAAGGTCACTTGAACTCAGTCAGACAGCAATATAACCTTACAGTTATTCTATATACCAACTATAGTTGACCTATTGTCTGTTTTAACACAAAATGATGGTTGCTTTGTTTAAACTTAAGGCATGACGCTACATATAGTTAAATGAACTTATTCCAAGAGGTTATCTACTTAACGTGGTAATAAGATCTTTGAATTTGTTTTTTAATCAGTACACTCTATGAATCAATAAATTCAAACATAACTAAATATTATTGATATACGGCTATAAACATTTACAGTCCTACATTCTGACAAAAATTATATTTTAGTATTACAGTAGATCATGTTTTTCTCTGACTGTTTTTGATATCTTTACACTAGATCCATGATTGATTGATATTTTAGTCTCATACACATGATTTTTTTATTAGTTGTAATTGGCTTTTAATTTATCCTGTTGAACTTACTTTAAATAAAGCTAATACTAACAATGACCACTGCCCTTTCCTCGATCTTGATATCTATATCATTAATGGAAAGCTTAATACTAAAATATATGATAAAAGAGATGATTTTTCATTTCCTATCGTTAATTATCCATTTTTAGATGGTGACGTTCCCTTGTCACCATCTTACGGTGTTTATATATCTCAACTTGTACGATTCGCTCGTGTATGTAACAATGTTTTAGATTTTAACGAGAGAAATTTATGTATTACTGAAAAATTATTACACCAGGGTTTTCGATATCACAAACTAGTCAAAACATTTACTAAATTTTATCATCGGTATAAGGACATCATTCGTAAATATAGCTCAACATGCAGACTTCTTATACGTTCAGGTATTTCACATCCAATTTTTTATGGAAATATTCTTTATAAAGCACAAAAATGTCAGTATTCACCTCTGAAGCTAACAAAACCTTTAAATAGACTTATTAAGAAGGGATATAGTTACGATACTGTTGTCAGGTCATTAAAGATTGCATATTTTGGCGTTAATATTGATTCACTTATAGGGTCTTTGCATCGGCACTAAACACATTTATTTAAAAACCAGTTGTTCGCATGACACGGGTTATGTTCTTCTCATATATGTTATGATGGTATGATACTAAACCCCTAACGGGAAGGATTGTGCCTGATATTCATATGATGAAGACATAATCTTTCAATCAGTTTAATTGAAGTCTGGAGCTGGCATGTCAGTTAACTGCTAGTAGTCTGTTGTTATTTATGTATTATTGTCATTTTGTTTATTTTCTTTGGTTACATCTTCTGACATCAGACTCGGACTTCTCTTGAACTGAATTTTAATGTGCGTATTGTTATGCGTTTACTTTTCTACATTGGCTAGAGGTATAGGGGGAGGGTTGAGATCTCATAAACATGTTTAACCCCGCCGCATTTTTGCGCCTGTCCCAAGTCAGGAGCCTCTAGCCTTTGTTAGTCTTGTATTATTTTTAATTTTAGTTTCTTGTGTACAATTTGGAGTTTAGTATGGCGTTCATTATCACTGAACTAGTATATATATTTGTTTAGGGGCCAGCTGAAGGACGCCTCCGGGTGCAGGAATTTCTCGCTGCATTGAAGACCTGTTGGTGACCTTCTGCTGTTGTCTGTTCTATGGTCGGGTTGTTGTCTCTTTGACACATTCCCCATTTCCATTCTCAATTTTATTTGCTTTGAGCAAACTTTCAGTAACTGTGAGAACTCTCAAATTGGTACTTTGGGTCTTAAGTCTTTTTGTTAGTTGTGTTTTGTGTGCTTTATGTTGATCTGATAAGTCAAGCCTTTTTCATCTGATTTGTATAGTTTTATTTTATGTTGGTTTGTTACACCGCTGGCCCAGTTTAAGGGGGAGTTGGTCACCCACAATTCTGTATGTGCCTGCCCCAAGTCAGGAGCCTGTAATTCAGTGGTTGTCCTTTGTTATATCGATTACTGTTATAGATCAGGCTGTTGGAGTCTTAAATTATAGCTTGCTATGGAGTATGGGTTTTGCTCTTTCTTGAAGGCCATACAGTGATTTATATGTGACCCAGTAAAAAAATAAGAGGGATTCACATGATTACAATTATTTTTTAAGTTTTTGTAATGTTTTCTGGGCTGGTTATGGCATGATTCAAATCAAAATACTGGCTTTGCTTCAGTTGACAGTGTTTTCTCTGGGTAACAATCTGCTCTATCGCCCTCTCAGAAATCTGTTATTTATATAATGTCTTATCACTATTTAAAAGGAGAAATTTCTTTTAGCATGAAGAACTATTTTGTTCAATTAGGCTTTTTTCTGTTTTGCCCAATTTTCAAGAAGTCCATTAAATCTTAAAACTCTATATGGTTTTCTTGTGCATCATAAATAAAATACCTGCGACAAGTAAAAATCCCTCTTAATATAATGGCTTTCACTTTATCAGGATGTGTCTCTGAGTATGCTAGTCCTAATGTGGATCCCCAACTTCCTCCAAACACAACCCATTTATCTATCTTTAGATGTTGTCTTAGTTTTTCAATGTCATCCACTAAATCCCATGTTGTATTTTCCTGTAATTATAGAAACATTATTACTATAAATAAGATTAAAATAAAATTTTATAAATTTAGTGCTTTCAAAGAGCTTTTCTAGATTTACCTTCATTAATGAAAATTTTTTAAAGCCAAAAACATGTAAAAAGGAAATATCAAATGACTTAAACTCCATAAGACCCTAATCATAGGCAATGGTAGGCGAACAATATTCCATGCCAGCAGATGTGATAAAAGGCATTCCAAGCTAACTTCAAAAAGGAGTGGAAGTCCATAAAACCTGAAAATTTCAACCAAAGGAACAAATGGAAATCAACTGTCATATTCCTGAATTGGAACAGGCATTTTATCAAGAAAATGCAGGAGTAACCTGGTTTTATAGTTAGCTGAACCTCCCATTTATATGAGAGTTGTTTATAGTTCCGATAAGGTGACAAAATTGAGCAACCCAAACAGACATTTGGTTTGGCGCTAGCAACATGTTTAACCCCTCCACATTCTGTAAGTGCCTGTCCCAAGACAGGAGCCTGTAATTCAGTGGTTTTCATTTGTTGCTGTATATCATATTTGTTTAATTCGTTTGTTTTGAACAGAAATCAGGTCGTTAGTTTTCTGTTTTTTACATTTGTCATTTTTTGGCCTTTTATACCTTACTATGCGTTATGGATTTTGCTCATTGTTGAAGGCCATATGGTGACCTATAGGTGTTAACTTCTACGTCATTTGGTATCTGGTAGAGAGCTGTCTCAATGGCAATCGCACCACATCTTCTTATTTTTATAATGAGTTGTTTTTACGAAATTATTTACTCCTTCATATGAATCTTCATTATCATGTGTAGCAGATCCAATATACATGATATAAATTAACGAGTAATACTCCTGTAAATAGATATGGCAAAAATGACATCTACTTATGCAATCTTTATATGTGTGTTTGCTGTGATATGAGTCTGGAAGTGCAAAAAACTTCAATTTTGATGATTTTTTGTCCTACATGCCAGTGTAAAATGTTGTATATACAAACTTTCTAACCCTAAGTTCATATGCTGGAAGAGACTTTCCTGCTCCTCTCTGATCAAACAGGATTATTCTGTAAGCTTCTGGATCAAAAAATCGTCTGTCTCTAGGACTTGTTCCTCCACCAGGACCACCATGACTGAAAAAATATCAATGTTATCTATAGTGAAACCTGATGTAAAAAAATGTCTTCCCTGCTTCATTGATTATATGCCTGCCTCATTGATTATCTGTAAGTTTGAATAAAATGAAGACATGTGCACTACATGTACTTCTGTCAACGTATATTTCTTCCACCTAACAGAAGTTCCACTGGAAACTTTGTTATAAATATCGGAACAAATATTCTATACCATTTATTGCGTTAGGAACATTTACTGTAATATTTATTCCAGTGGAAATAATATTCCAGAATATTGTTTCCATTTGGAACTTATATTATGAAGGGACTTCTATTCCATGACACTTCCCTTTCTTTCTTTGGGCCAGTTTATAAATATTATTATGCAGATTATTTACCTTTTCATACATTTTTTCATGCTAAGTTACTGGTATCTATCAAATATCCTGAGGTGCCTTGTGGCTGTCCAAATGTCTGTATTGCTTCTGTATTAGGCGGTGAGATTGCTTGGGAATTGAGGACAATACTTGAAAGATTTTATTTATTTGAACTAAAGCATCATACAGTGGATTAATTTATTTTTATGGATATTAATTTTCGTGGACTCAGGAAAAATTGTATTTTCGTGGATATTTGATTTCGTGGTTTTGCCAAAGATTGCATACAAGCATATAGAAAATTTGTACTTTGTTGAACATTTGAATTCGTGGTTAACTTCCACTCACGAAATCCACGAAAATTGGTATCCCATGAATAATAATGAATCCACAGTATTTGTATCAATATTGAATATAATAGTTTTCTATTGCTAATTACTATCTTAGTAGGGTTTTCATCCTGTAAATAAACTTAAGTACACAGAATTACACAATGGACAGCTTTCTGATTGGTTCTCAGTGGATACAGGCGTCAGACAAGGATGCATAATCTCTCCTCTTCTCTTCTTAATAGTTGTTGACTGGTGTATGAGATCAACCTTAGGAAATGGAAACACTGGAATAAGATGGACACTCAACTTCTTTCTTGAAGATCTAGACTTTGCAGATGACATTTGCTTACTATCCAGCAACAGAACACAAATGCAAAAGAAAACTTCAAGACTGAATACTATGTCAAACAAACTTGGGCTCAAAATAAACATCAAGAAAACGAAAGTCATGTCAATCAATGAACAATCAAATAAAATTAAAATAAAGATTGGATCCTTAAACATCGAGAAAATAGAAGACTTTACATACCTAGGCAGTGTAATAAGCAGTGATAATGGGACCACCAAAGACATCAAAGCAAGACTGAGTAAAGCTAGAACATCCCTCTGTCAACTCAGACCAATCTGGAAATCGTCATCCCTTGCCAGAAACACAAAACTTAAAATTTACAACAGCAATGTCAAATCTGTACTGCTTTATGGCTCAGAATGTTGGAGAATTATACAAACTGACTTCAACAAACTGGCTGCATTCCACAATACCTGCTTGAGAAGAATATGTAAAATCTTTTGGCCCAACAAAATAACCAATTGGGAACTATTCAAACTGACAGCACAAAGAGACATAAGAGATGAAATAAAAACAAGAAGATGGAAATGGATAGGCCATGTCTTAAGGAAGGAACCAGTAAACATCGCTAAAGTGTCACTGAGATGGATTCCAACTGGCAAGAGGAAAAGGGGAAGACCAAAAGAAACAGTGGAAAACGAGATGAAGGAGGTTGGGATGTCATGGCGAGAAGTAGAGAAGAAAGCACAAGACAGAGTGTTATGGAGAGAGCTAGTGTCGGCCTTATGTGCATCAAAGCACGAAGAGGATTAAAAAAAAAAAACACAGAATACAGAACCATTTTTTTTTTTTTGCAAAATTAAGATATTATATCAAGGAAGTGACAAACAATCAAACAAAAAAGATGCATAAGAGAGCCATATACTGTACATTTAAGAAATTTTTGTTAAAAATTTCCTTTTTGTAGTTTTTAAGCCTCAGCCTTCAATCTTTCTAAATGTTTGTACTATTGTACATTTGCGCCTCACAGTTATAGCTGTGTGTACATATATATATTTGAATAAATTTTCCATATTTTCCATAAAAACCGATCCAATTATCAGCAGTATTCTTGATTGAAAGTACCCATTTTGCAATGAGCTGTCTGTTTAGGCAAATATTTGTGGGAGACTGACTAGCATTCCTTTGTTTTGTTCATTTATAGAAATAATCTTTAATTGATCAGCATTAAAAAAAACTGTTATTAAGAAATTTTAAAGGCTGAGGTTTAAAAACTACAAAAGCAGATGATATCACTAAACAAAATTGTACCATCTGTTCTCCCATATCGGCATGCTGATCAACCTATAGCATTTACTGTGAGCATGCTGACAACCATCATAAAGGAGATATCAAATACTAGTGTCATTGCCTTTCAAACTGCAATCCCTAACCTTTTAAAAGAGGGGCGAAAGATACCAGAGGGACAGTCAAACTCAATGATCGAAAATAAACTGACAACGCCATGGCTAAAAAATAAAAAGACAAACAGACAAATAATAGTACACAAGACACAACATAGAAAACTAAAGACTAAGCAACACGAACCCCACCAAAAACTGGGGGTGATCTTGTAAGCCAAAAAAGTGTCCCATGAAATTGTGTCTTCTTGAACTATATTTCACAGTTCATCTGTGAAATTTCGTTCACGGGACAGAATATCACATTTGTAAACTATAAAATAGTGTCTCCCTTAGTGAAAAATTGTCCCTAGTACTTGGACATAATTTCATGGATGTTGTATAAAAATATGTCACAAGGGACAATTTTTCATAGTGTAGCTATTTTTTTCTGTCCCTAAAGAAGGGAAATAATTTAGCATTCATTGAAATGTTTTAATCAATTAGTTAAATCATAATTGAAATTTAAATCAAGACAACACAGATGTGAACAAAAAGCCAATTTCAGCAAATGGTTACAGGTATATAAAATCTTAAATATATAGTTTAAATGCATTTATAAGGTAAATAAAAAAGATAATTTCTGCATTTCATTGCATATTTTTATTACAATTCTTTACATTAGATGGTATATACCCGGTGCATTGTTAGGTACACAAACATAAATAAAATGCTTCGCTGGGCGCAGCTTGATACGACCGCAGAGGTCGAACCCTGAACAGTTGGGGCAAGTATGGACACAACATTCAAGCTTGATACAGCTCTGAATTTGGATTGTGATTAAATATTTGACACAGCATAGGTTTCTGACTCAGAAAGAATGTGGTCTAAGAACTTCAATTTTTTTAATTTACCTATTATGGTCCAATGTCCAAAATCAAAATACATGGTTAGATTCAGCATATCAAAGAACCCCATATATTCAATTTTTGTTGAAATCAAACAAAGTTTAATTTTGGACCCCAACTTGGACAAACTTGAAAACTGGTCCCATAATCAAAAATCTAAACACATGTTTAGATTCAGCATATCAAAGTACCCCAAGAATTCAATTTTTGTTAAAATCAAACTAAGTTTAATTTTGGACCCTTTGGACCTTAATGGAGACCAATTTAAAAAACGGGACCCAAAATTAAAAATCTAAAAACACGGTTAGATTTGGCATATCAAAGAACCCCAATAATTCAATTTTTGATGAAAGTTTAATTTTGGACCCTTTTGACCTCAATATGAACCAATTTGATAGCGGGCCCACAAAATAAAAAATCTAAATACATGGTAAGATTCAGCATATCAAAGAACCCCATATATTCAATTTTTGTTGAAATCAAACAAAGTTTAATTTTGGACCCCAGTTTGGACCAACTTGAAAACTGGGCCAAAAATCTAAAATCTAAATACATGTTTAGATTCAGCATATCAAAGAACCCCATATATTCAATTTTTGTTGAAATCAAACAAAGTTTAATTTTGGACCCCAACTTGGACCAACTTGAAAACTGGTCCCATAATCAAAAATCTAAACACATGTTTAGATTCAGCATATCAAAGAACCCCAAAAATTCAATTTTTGTTAAAATCAAACGTGTTTAATTTTGGACCCTTTGGACCTTAATGTAGACCAATTTAAAAAACGGGACCCAAAATTAAAAATCTAAATACACGGTTAGATTTGGCATATCAAAGAACCCCAATAATTCAATTTTTGATGAAATCAAACAAAGTTTAATTTTGGACCCTTTTGACCTCAATATGAACCAATTTGATAGCGGGCCCACAAATAAAAAATCTAAATACATGGTAAGATTCAGCATATCAAAGAACCCCATATATTCAATTTTTGTTGAAATCAAACAAAGTTTAATTTTGGACCCCAATTTGGACCAACTTGAAAACTGGGCCAAAAATCTAAAATCTAAATACATGTTTAGATTCAGCATATTAAAGAACCCCATATATTCAATTTTTGTTGAAATCAAACAAAGTTTAATTTTGGACCCCAACTTGGACAAACTTGAAAACTGGGCCCATAATCAAAAATCTAAACACATGATTAGATTCAGCATATCAAAGAACCCCAAGAATTCAATTTTTGTTAAAATCAAACTAAGTTTAATTTTGGACCCTTTGGACCTTAATGTAGACCAATTTAAAAACGGGACCCAAAATTAAAAATCTAAATACACGGTTAGATTTGGCATATCAAAGAACCCCAATAATTCAATTTTTGATGAAATCAAACAAAGTTTAATTTTGGACCCTTTTGACCTCAATATGAACCAATTTGATAGCAGGTCCACAAATAAAAAATCTAAATACATGGTTAGATTCAGCATATCAAAGAACCCCAAGAATTCAATTTTTGATGAAATCAAACAAAGTTTAATTTTGGACCCTTTTGACCTCAATGTGGACAAAGTTGATAACGGGGCCCAAAAATCAAAAATCTAAATACATGGTTAGATTCAGCATATCAAAGAACCCCATGTATTCAATTTTTGTTGAAATCAAACAAAGTTTAATTTTGGACCCCGATTTGGACCAACTTGAAAACTGGGCCCATAATCAAAAATGTAAATACATGTTTAGATTCAGCATATCAAAGAACCCTAAAAATTCAATTTTTGTTAAAATCAAACTAAGTTTAATTTTGGACCCTTTTGACCTTAATGTAGACCAATTTGAAAACGGAACCAAAAATTAAGAATCTAAATACACGGTTAGATTCGGCATATCAAAGAACCCCAATAATTCAATTTTTGATGAAATCAAACAAAGTTAAATTTTGGACCCTTTGGACCTCAATGTGGACCAATTTAAAAACGGGGCCCAAAATCCAAAAACTTAATACACGGTTAGATTCAGCATATTAAAGAACCCCAAGAATTCAAGAATAAAACCCCATTGAAATTGATCAAGAAATAAGCAATTTATACGAAGTATCTTCTTTTGCACAATACTGTGCAATTGAATATTTCTTGCTATTGTGCAATACTGTACAATTGACAATTTCTTGCTATTGCGCAATATTGTGCTATTGGATATTTCTTGCTATTGCGCAATACTGTGCAATTGAAGATTTCTTGCTATTGCGCAATACTGTGCAATTGAAGATTTCTTGCAATTGTGCAATACTGTGCAATTGAAAATTTCTTGCTATTGCACAATACTTATTATATAATAATTTACACATCCTGTTTGGTGTGTATCTCCTACCATATCATTATTATTTGCTTTTAAATATTAATCAGAAATAACCAACTTAAAATGGAAAATTTTAAAAGAAAAAAAAAAGGAAAAAAAGAAAAAAAAATTAAAAAAAAAAAATCCCCCCCCAATTTTTTTAACCCCCTTATGATTCATCACCCCCAAACTCAATCCCAGCCTTCCCTTTGTGGTATGGTACCTTGCAGTACAATTTCAGAGAGATCCATACACTTGAACACAAGTTATTGTCTGAAAACTAGAAAAATGCTTATTTTTGGCCCCTTTTTGGCCCCCTTTTCCTAAACGTTTCAGGCAATTACCCACAAACTCAATTCCAGCTTTCCCTTTGTGATATGGAACCTTGTAGTACAATTTCAGAAATATCCAAACACTTACACACAAGTTATTGTCATGAAACTAGAAAAATGCTTGTTTTTTGCCCCTTTTTTGGCCCCTAATTCCTAAAATTTTGAGGTAATTACCCCCAAAATCAATTACAGCCTTCCCTTTGTGATATGGAACCTTGTGGTACAATGTCAGAGAGATCCATACACTTACACACAAGTTATTGTCTGGAAGTTACAAAAATGCTTATTTTTGGCCCCTAATTCCTTAACTGTTAGTACCATAACCCCCAAAATCAATCCCAACCTTCCTTTCGTGGTATTGAACCTTATGGTAAAATTTCATGGAGATCCATTCACTTAAACTAAAGTTAGAGTGCGAAAACCAATGTGTCTTCGGACGACACCGGACGACGCCAGACGACGACGACGACGACGACGACGCCAACGTCATACCAATATACGACCAAAAAATTTTCAATTTTTGCGGTCGTATAAAAAGGAAACATTTACAGCTGATTTCAATGAGTGTGTAGGCAAAGGTAATATCTTTGGTTAGCAAGCTAACCAAAGATTTTAACTTTTTAGCTACACACTCATTGAAATCGGCTGTAATTATTATAAATATATAATAATAAAACATAGAATTTTGAATATTGATCTTGTCAAAAATGACAATCCAAAGATTTAAAACAATTCATTAATTCCTACTGTATATTTAAAAACAAATGTCGATTTAGTCTTATTATTTATTGTAAATTAAATTATTTGGTATTAGATAAGACTTTTATGCAATTTGGACATGATTTCACTATCAAAAAATATCCAACAAAGGTCAAAATAGTATATCTTTTCAAGGGACACTTTTACACGGAAGTGGACAATATTTTATAATAAAATTCTGTCCTGGACAAAATTTGACAGGTCATATCCGTGAAATTTTGTCCATTGGACATAATTTCATGGGGGACACTATTTAATCCTACAATCTCAGGTGCTGTGTTACTCATATTTTAACTTAATCTTCCTGTATACTTTTTAATGGCAGAACAGTCATAAAACACAAGGGGAAAATTATAACTTACTAGCAGACATTGGATGACAAAAAGGAAACAACTCACACAGGTATGCATGAGGACATAAGTATAGATAACTCACATAAAAACGACTGGGTTTCCATTCTTGTTACCACTCTCTTCATAATAGATGGAATGTAAGTCTGATACCTTTAACATCCCTGTGTCATAAGGTTCTATCTCTGGAAACAGATCTCTTTTGTCTGCCATTTCTGTTATTAAATAAAATCATCATAGTTCATATTAAATATTTTGCAAATGTTTAGATCCTACAATTTCAATTGGCAGACAAAAATATCGAAAAGCATTCCAAAACTATGTTTTATTTTCCAATAAACTGCAACATTTATATGACTATGTGTGTTCTCCTTGACTATACTTTACTACAATGCATAGGAAAACAAACTAAAAGCTTGATTAAACTTGTAATTTCATGATTATCGCATTAAAATTCAGACCTGCCAACTTTCACAATTTATGTGGGATTTCCCCCATGAGAGGTGTTGACCTGAATTTTGGAATTCTTTAGTGTATGAACTGAACACCTCAAAACAGGCATTCAAATGAGTTAAAAGGGTATTGAAGCACATACATACTCATTCAAACAATAAAATTGTAGATTAAAAACTTTTAAGACAATATAAGAGGAGCTAGCATATTAGATCCTCTTGTGCTTAGAATCCCCCATGGAAATTTTGATAAGTTGGCAGGTATGAAAATTGTAGTTATGAGAATTGAATGTTTCTTTTTGTTCTATTATAGCAATATAGGGTTAAAAAAGCATTGATCGTGTGAAGGCTCTCCTTCATACAAAATATACTTTGTTCAATAGTACTTTTACACCCCAATAAAACAACAAAAAGAATACAGACTTTAATTCTTAATTAAAGTTTTAATTCCCATTAAATGTAAAGAACAAAATTTATAATGCTTATAACAAACAAAACAATATGTGACAAAATACACATTTACACAAAGTCCTCACGGTTCCATGACATTTTCATAGAAGCCACAAAATTATTCCTTAAGACAAGTAATATTAAATCTGATTGTCAAATTCCTGTTTGCCAAACCGTACACATTTAATCAACAATTAATGTGCTTTGTCAACATTTACAGTTACTACTACCTGGCATTTAATTTTGCCCTTGTAACACAATTTATTTATTACTTCTAATTAGATTCAGTAACTGGGAGTATATAACTGTAATTCACTAACTGTCAAAAAATAATACAAGGACTATAATTATATCAAAGAGCTACAGTTCCGCAACCAAGATTTGTGTTGCTCGGTCTTTAGTTTTCTTTGTCGTGTTTTGTAGACTGTTGTTTGTCTTTTAGTCCTTTTAGTCGTTTCGTTTCCTGCCATGGCATTGTCAGTTCGTTTTTTACTTAGTTTGACAATCCCTTTGGTACTTTTTTATGATTTGTTCGTGTTTCGGTTACGGTCTTACTGAGCCCATATTTCCGTTTATTTATGAATAGCAGCGGTTGTTATGTAAAATTACCAAATACTATTCAAGAATGGAAAATATCAATCGACTGCCTTCTTCTTCTAATCTTTACTTTCACATTATCTGCCTCCTACTCTGCCGGATAGAGATATTGCAGTTTCGAGCCCAATCGTACCTACTCGGTCATTCCCGTTGGGCCAATAATAAGACTTAGCGAGAATAGCCGAGTAGATACGATTGCATTCGATTCACTTTCACTTTCAATTTAGAAGAAGATATCCGAGTTAAAATCAAGTAGATATGTCCTATTTTCGGTGCAAAATATAGTAGGCATGCATTTTGTGTCAGGGGATACATGGACACGTATGTATGGCTTCACCAAAAAGAGTACAAATATAAACAGCGTTATATCTATATATAAACAATCAATAATAGTGGATACAGTTACCCAGTGCTATTTCTTATATAAAACTTAGGATTCAGGCGGACACAGCTGGACACAACGTTATATATATATATAAAATACATAAAAAGTAGTGACTACAGACGGACATAAGTGGACACAACGTAATATCTATATAAAACTTATAGAATCTGCTGGCTTCAGGCGGACACAGCTGGACACAGTGCTATTTCTATATAAAACTTAAAGATATAGGGGGAGATAGGCGGACACAAGTGGACACAACGTAATATCTATATAAAACTTATAGAATCTGCTGGCTACAGGCGGACACAGCTGGACACAGTGCAATTCCTTTATAAAAATTATAAAAAATGGGGATACAGGCGGACACAAGTGGACACAACGTAATTTTTATATAAAACTTATAGAATCTGCTGGCTACAGGCGGACACAGCTGGACACAGTGCTATTTCTATATAAAACTTTATGAAATAGGGGGATACAGGCGGACACAAGTGGACACAACGTAATTTCTATATAAACATAGAATGTGCTGGCTACAGGCGAACACAGCTGGACACATTGATATTTCTATATAAAAATTACAGAAACAGGGGCCTACAGGCGGACACAAATGGACACAACGTAATTTCTATATAAAACTTAAAGATATAGGGGGAGATAGGCGGACACAAGTGGACACAACGTAATATCTATATATACATAGAATGTGCTGGCTACAGGCGGACACAGCTGGACACAGTGCAATTCCTTTATAAAAATTATAAAAATTGGGGATACTGGCGGACACAAGTGAACACAACGTAATTTCTATATAAAACTTATAGAATCTGGTGGCTACAGGCGGACACAGCTGGACACAGTGCTATTCCTATAATTTTTATAAAAACTGGGGATACAGGCGGACACAAGTGGACACAACGTAATTTCTATATAAAACATAGAATGTGCTGGCTACAGGCTGACACAGCTGGACACAGTGATATTTCTATATAAAAATTACAGAAACAGGGAGCTACAGGCGGACACAAGTAGACACAACGTAATTTCTATATAAAACTTATAGAATCTGCTGGCTACAGGTGGACACAGCTGGACACAGTGCTATTTCTATATAAAACATATAAAAACTAGTGACTACAGGCGGACACAAGTGGACAGAACGTAATATCTATATAAAACTTATTTAATCTGCTGGCTACAGGCGGACACAGCTGGACACATCATCTTCATCTTTTTATGTAAATTAAGCACCTCACATTTGAATAACTTTAAACACACCAGAACCAGGACCATGAATACATTTTTCTCAATGTTAATCTACTTTTTTCTGGATTTCATAAATGATCAATAAAACTTGACACCAGCCTAGACACATAAATATGATATCAGAACATTAAAACATTTCAGATAGAAAGTCAGCATTGTAGATTTGGATGAAAACTTGAAATGGAAAATTTTACGATGCTGTATTTTGGGCATATAATTCTAAATTTATATACATTTCTACAATTTTCTATAGTGGAAATCCATTACATATTTTTTTGTTTAACAAATTGATACCAGTAGTTGGCAAAACCAGTTTCATGTTTAATTAACGCAATTCTTAAGCCTGAGAACCCAATAGATTAAGCACAAAATGCAGTGAATTTCTCAGTTATATTAATGCAAATCAATTTAGAATAAAAACTATTTTCTTCAATATCAAATATCGACAGGAACACGATTTATTTTAAAACTAAATGTTTTATTTATTTTATCATAATTTTCAAGGGAAACAAACTATTTTTTTTCACTTCCCTGTATAAATTAAGTTATATTTTCCAGAAATTAAGGATCAAACAATTTACCCCCCACCCCCTCCCCCTCTTTCAGACCCCTTTTGTGTTTTCAATAATCTATAGACTAATAAAACCTAAACAGTGCGTGTGGTGAATCCTTTTAGGATATAAACTCAAAGAAACATCTACCTGCTCAAACTCAAGTCATGGATAATTGTATGTCATAACTGACTAGACAATGTAATTCAGTTTGACGTACAGCTCCGTAAACTTATACCCTGGGAACAGTATATCAATATATATGTTCCTGTTATACTGAACCATATCCAAATGAATATGATTTCATCTTTAAGGCGCAACACATATAAATATTGGGAATGCGTAAGAAAAATAGGAAGACATCAGTGGAAGAAATACATTGTTCACGCTATATGAAAATCAAAGGCTATATACACGCAAAGCTCCCGCTGCGAATCAGGAAGATCGGGGAAGAAAAGTCTGATAAGCCTACATCTGATAATTATCAAGGAATATATATCTTCTTACTTTGATATAGTTGTATTGCCATTCGTTTTTATTATTTATAGTAGGCCCCAAGTTAAAATCGGCTCTACACGTTTGGATGTACGCTGGACTACTATATATAACAATCGATTTTGCATGCGCCTGCGCAATGCGAATATTGAAAGTACAATAAAATAAAAGTTGTAGGAGTTTTGTCACAGCAAGTGTCCTTTAAGGGTATAAAATTGTATAGACAATTAATTAACTGTATTTCTTGAATAACACACAGCATTACACTGGAACTATTTGAATATTAAATATTGGTATTGGTGTTCTAGATAGATGTGTCCCGCCGGAGTCCGGTGCCTACGCATGCCAATACGAATTTACAGAATAATCCTAGAGTCAACTTTTCTCAAATGTGTGCAGTTTTTATATAAATTTCTACTTTGATATACTGCCATCCTGACTTGTCGATAGTATTTTACATGTTCCAAAAGGTGGCAATAAATTAAGTATCACTGTAGTAGATAATTTTCAGGCAGTAACAAATCAACAAATATCCAAGTCCAACCAGATCTGGTGATAAAATTCCAGGTTTTATTCCCATACTAGCTGTACTTATAATCTTTTTTTCCTGATTTTCCTGACATCCATTCATTTGTTCCATTCAAAATCATTACAAGGTTAACCACCAAAAATATCCTGTCATGTTTCAATCTGCATAAATTTTTTGTATTAAGATTGAAAATGAACAAACAATAAATACCTGAGAAGTCTACAGCACAGACCCCTCTTTGATGTTGACCTTTCAGTACTGACGATGTTTCATTGATTCTGTATCCCAGATATGTATAGTTTATCAGTCTCTTCCAACCTTTATGTACATAAATTAGATTGAAATATATTTAAAAAAAGATTCTACTAGGTACTACCATAAAGGTACTTTTGAACAATGATTCCATATTTTCTGGCTTTGTACTTGTTTTGGCTTTCAAACTTTTTTCATCTGAGCGTCACTGGTTGGTCTTGTGAGGACGAGACGC